GGGGGGGGGGGGAGAGAAAAACATCGATGTGAGAGGCATACATTGATTGGTTGCTTCCCACATGCGCTCCAACCGGGGTCAGGGATCAAGTCTGCAACCAAGGTATGGGCCCTTGGCCAGAATTGAACCTGGGACCCTTCAGTCCTTGGGCCAAGGCTTTAACCACTGAGCCAAACCGGCCTGGGTGAAGAGGACATTTTCAAAGGATTATGTTCTGAGTTGTCCCACAGACTTGAGAGAAGCCAGTTCCTGAATCAGAGGCAGTTCCAGCTCTGGGTGCTTACTGCTGGGGAGCAGCAACCACTGCTGGATCCTGGAGACCCAGCCTTATCCTTTTAAAAATATTCCTATAAAACTAGGCAGGAAGGTATAGCAGAACCTTAAGATCATATATTACTAAAGTCTGACAGACCAGGCTTTTAGTTTGGGTCTATCACTTAATAGCTATGTGACTTTGGACAAGTTGTTGAACTTTTCTGGACCCTAGCAGTATTAAAACAGGGATACTAATTATTACTTAGTAGTGACATCGTGAGGGTCAAATAAAATCATGTGCACAGAACACATGGTGCTGGGCATAGAGGCAGCATTCATTCAGTATTAGGCTACAGCTGAGCTTGACATAAAAGAGCCCCCCTTCTTGCTGGCACAGGGGAGAGGAACCCCAAATGCACACAGCCCTATGTCCCAGTCTCATTGAGTTCCATTCTAAGGATTCAGTAGATTTTAAGGGTTAAGGTAGAGGATTTTGATGGATATTGATGTAACCTCCCTCCTGCTGGCACCAAGCTGGGCAATAACTATCTTGGCCACCAGAAATGGGATTGAAGACAACTGGGTAAAATGACCCAGCAACTGTACCAGGAGCTGTAGGCATTGGAGAAATGAGAGTTGGGTTGATATGCTCAATCCCAAGAGCACATACTCTACACCAGGCACTGTTCTAAGTGCCTGCAGGTTCTAATTCATTTACTCCTTGAGTCCATCCCATGAACTAGGTACTATTATTATTGCCCTGCTCTAAAGACAAGGAAACGAAGGCACAGAGAGGTTAAGAAAATGGCTCATAACCACACAGCCAGTAAGTAGCAGAGGCGGGATTGAAAGTCTGGTGGCCTGGGCCCAGTGTCCATCCCCACTGGTTCTAGAAGTGGGGTCTCTGAACTTTTAGCAGCAGCAGCAGTAAAACCTGGAACTTGTTAGAAGTGCAAATTCTTGGGCCCAACCCCACACCCACTGAATCCAAGAAACTCTGGGGGTGGGGCCCAGGCATCTGTGTTTAACGAGCCTGTCAGGGCCCACTGATGCACACCCAAGTGGGAACACCACCTCACTGCTTCAGGCAGAGGAAGTAAACAGAGAGAACACATTATTTAAACTCCAGAATCCACAGTACCCACCCTCACCCGTGTCTGCCCAGTGGAGAAGACACCCCCAGCATCTATACAATAAGGCAGAAGCTTTGGATGTGCCATTGAAAAGTCTCCTGATGCCACACGCCTGTGAGATTCGGCATTCACCAGTCTCAATCTGAGTGAAACCAGCAAGCTGAACCATGACAAGGGAAACAGTCAATCCCAATAATTGCCTTCATGGAGAAGGTGGCCCTGCGATTATTCATTGACACTTTCTTTGCTGTTTCCTCTCCAAGCTCTCACTTCGTAGCTGCTGCCCTCACACCCAGTCCCAAGGGGTTCCAAGGAGGGGCTGCTCATTGTGAATCGAGACCCTGAGGACTCAGAGCCCTCAGCAGAGCTCTCCATCGACCTTGAACTTGGGGAGATGCACCTGCCCGCGACCCTTTTAAAAACAAGGCTTCAGGTAAACAGATTTGACCTTTTTTAACCCATAATTCACATGAGAGTCAATCCAAAGTGAGTACAATACCAGCTGGTGAGTGAATGGCGGGGCCAGCGTGGGGAGCTGGGTTGGGGTGCATCGGAGTGGAACTCCGAAAGGATTTTTATTGTTTGAACCTCTAAACCACTTACTTAAGGCCAAACAAATAAATCTTAGCATTTGGGTATTGAACCCAAATAGGAAAATCAAAACTCTTATGCAAATCAGCAGATGTTATTTTTGAGTTGAGGACTTAGGTGATTTTCATATCAGAAAGGCAAGGCCGTCAGAGGCTGTGAGTGCACCTGGAGAGTGAGGTAGCAGGGGGACCCAGGTCAGACAGGCCACCTCCAGAGGGAAGGCATTTTTCTGCTACAGCAGTGGTTTGGGACTGATAATTCCCTTGGGAACTCTGATGGTTGCCTCTCGGAGCCCACGTGGTGTATCTATGGCTCGGAGCATTTTCAGAGCTGTCACTAAAATATTTCCAGTGAGATGTCCATGTTGAGATAAACTTCTGCTTCATACAGGTTAGCATCCCTAAGAACACAGCCCACCGATCCTTGTGGAGCCTAACTGTCAGGAGTGCGAGAGGAAAAGAAGTTGGGAGCCCTGACATATACAAACTGGAACATACTGAAAGAAGAGAGACATCGGGGGTGCCCCCCAATGGCTAAAACTGGACGATGTCTAAGGGACTCAAAAGACGCATACTCTCCATGGCACCCTGAGCACTTAAAGTCCCATTTGGGCTGCAACAACATGAAGACAAGTCAGAAATACTCATGGCAGACAGAATTCCCAGATGGAACCCAAGAACCCCAGACTGCCCGGCCGGGTGTGGCTCAGCTGTTGAGCATCGACCTAGGATCCAGGCGACTAGGGTTCAATTCCTGGTCAGGGCACATGCCTGGGTTGCAGGCTCGATCAATGACTCTCTCATCATTGATGTTTCTATCTCTCTCTCCTTCTCCTTTCCTCTCTCTGAAATCAATAAATATATATTAAAAAAAAGAAGAAAAAAAAAGAACCCCAGATAGTGGTACACATATCCTATATAATGCCTCCCCTTAAGTGTGGACAAGACCTGAGAGTATGGGATAGGAGGTCGTTTGATTAGGTTACCTAAGTGATCAGATGATGCTACATTATATAAGACCTGTTTTTAGAAGAAGCAGAGATTCCTCTGCTGGCTTCGAAGAAGCTGCCATGTCTTGAGAGGGCCACGTGGCTAGAAGCTGAGGAGCTGAGAGTGACCTGCTCTGTTGAGGACATGTCATTATGTGTCCTGGGTCCACCCTCTCACTGTCCTCTCTTTCCTGAAGGTTCCACAGCTCCTTTTTCTGCATAGCAGCTCTCTCCCCTCACCCCTTCTCAGCTCTCCCTAGACTCCCTGCCAACTTCATGCAGGGAAGCAAGAATACTCCCGGGAGCTCCGTGTACTTTCTTTCTTTTTTCCTAGATCTAAAGGCTTTATGCCTGCTGGTTCACTCAGCCTTGTTACAAAAACAGGCTCAAAGAAATGAAGAAATAGCATTAAAAACACACACAGCACGATGACCCTGCTCCCAGGCAGAGGGTTGGGTGGTGGCTCTAGAGCAGCAAGATGAAGCGGGGGATAGGCAGTGAGGTGCCCTCGTCCCCTGGAGCCTGGGGGACAGCATGAGTCACTTTAGCCCTTCCCCAGCGCTCCTGCCTCCCCTGGGCCCACGCTGGATCTGAGATCTCTTTCTCATGACAAATCTCTCTCTCTGTCTCTTCTTGACTACAAGAGCAGCTTGGCCAGAGGAACCATAACAAATATCTGCTTTATTATATCCAGGCTATGTTTTGCCCTCAACCCCCTAAAAACAGTAGTGGTGTCATGGAGAAATTAGGGAAATAAGGCAAAGATCTCGTGTCATCTCCTCTTTGATTTTCTCGCTTAGATCCTTCCTACCCAGAAGAATCTTACTTGTATTGCTGACATCTGCTGCCTGCCCATGACCAGCTTCCTTAGTAGCCAGGATCTGTGCATCTTTCATTTGCCTTCCAAACCCAGTGGCACCCACCCACTGGCGCAAACCCATTCCTATAAGTTGATCATCGGGTACCTGGGAAAGCTCTAGCACCTAAAACCGAAGGTGCAGCAAAGCGATGGTACTTTGTTGAACATTGTACTTGTGATGAGTACAATGGAAGTGGTGAGGGAATCTGTGGTCGGGAAGAAGAATGACAGGAAAGATGAGCGAAGTACCTGGGCCTCTGAAAGGATAATTTCCAGACGTGAGCACACACAGGTTCAGTGTCAGGAGACGGAAGCAGCATATGCAAAATGCATGGCAGAGCTGAATTTTCAATTCACTACAGACATGCTTTGGAAACATGAAAGAGCTATTTTTAGTACAGTGATTGATTAGGGTTGCTATGGCACTAGGAAACACTTAGAACAAAACGAAATGTAGGCAAGTCTTAAAGAGAAAGGGGCAAACAGGCTGGAAATTTCAGTGGGTTTCTGGATGGTACAGGAAGCCTCGGCTGCAGTCCCCACACTGCAGAGGGAGAGGGGCGTGGTGGCTGTGGAGAATGGGCCATGGGAGATGAGTCTGAGGCTCTCTAAGTGTTCTGCACCCCAGAAGCATGCAGTGATGGGGCTAAGGCTCAGGCTTTTGCTTCTCAGGGTGTCCTGTAGCCACTGAGAGCAGAGAAAATTAGTGTGTATACGTGTGTCAAATGACAGATGT